CTTTACTTTCATCACAAATCATCAATTGAATTGAATTGAACAAATTATCATATATATCAACATGGCCAAATACGAATGCTCCCAACACATGCATGACTTCCTTCACGAGTTACCAAAATGTGAACATCATGTTCATTTAGAAGGTACTTTGGGACCTGATTTATTGTTCCCATTAGCTAAAAGAAACAATATCACTTTACCAGATAACTTCCCAAAGACTCCTGAAGCTTTACAAATCAGATATGATCAATTTGCTGATTTGGAAGATTTCTTAGGCTTTTACTACATTGGTATGGGTGTCTTGATCACTGAAGAAGATTTCTTTGAATTAGCTTGGATGTACTTCAACAAAGCTAAGAAAGATGGTTTACATCATGCTGAAGTGTTCTTTGATCCTCAAGGTCATTTGGAAAGAGGTATTGATATGGATGTTGTTGTTGGTGGTTTCAACAGAGCTTGTGAAAAAGCTGAAGCTGAATTAGGCATCACTACCAAATTAATCATGTGTTTGTTAAGACATCTACCAGTTAACAACTGTATGGATACAATTGAATTAGCTAAACCACATTTCGCTAAAGGTACCATTCACGGTTTAGGTTTAGATTCTTCTGAAAAGCCATTCCCTCCACATTTATTCATCGAATGTTACGCTAAAGTTGCTGAACATTTCCCAAATGTTGGTTTAACTGCTCATGCTGGTGAAGAAGGTGGTCCAGACTTCATTATCAACTCATTAGACAAATTAAACGTCACTAGAATTGATCATGGTGTCAACTCATACAAAGATGATGCTCTTTTAGCCAGATTAGCTGAGAATCAAACTTTACTATCTTTATGTCCTCTATCCAACGTTAAATTGCAAGTTGTCAAAGATGTTTCTGAATTACCAATTCAAAAATGGTTAGATGCCAACGTTCCATTCTCAATTAACTCTGATGATCCAGCTTACTTTGGTGGTTACATTTTAGATAACTACATTGTTGTGCACACTAGATTCGGTTTCGATTTAAAAACCTGGGTTAAGATTGCCAAGAACGGTGTTCATGGTTCCTGGATCACAGATGCTAGAAAGAAGGAAATCTTGGATGCAATTGATGCCGTTTACTTGAAATATCAACCATTGTTAGAATAGATACCACGTTTATGATCGTCTTTAATTTTATCGTTTTGTTACACTTTTTCTTTTCCTCCACTTGAGCAGTTATGTTGTTCCACCAATGTACATTAGCGTTTAAATTGCTCAGTTCAACCACGAGCGCATATATATATATATATCATATAGATACACATTTAATATCACTTTTTCTTTATAGATCTAATAAATGAATGATAAGAAAACCGTTGTAAACTTTAAAGCCTTAAAAAAACTAGGGTGTATCCAACATCTTTACACCACTGAGCTAAAATGATGTTGTCAAATCTAATCATTAATCATTCCTTGTTTTGAATTGTAGGTTAAGGGGATCAAAGACATTTGATAATTGAAATCATTCTTTTGTATCTTGATTCAGTCAATATATAATAAATCATGACATCAATTGCTTTGAATCTTTTGGATCAAAGACTCGATCAAAATGACGCGTACAATTTTTCAGATCAAAGAGACGTGATAGATCATTTGAAGTCTCAGTATGATGCGTCAACGAAACCTGAATCACAAAAACAGCAGACTCAGCATGGTTTAAATGACTTGCAGTTGTTATCGTCTGTTGCATTCAATAAACAACTTGACAATCTTATTCAAAACAGAAATAATTTGTTATTTTCTTTCAGTGATAAATTTGATCAATTGGATGCTGACACGTTAAGGCTTCTGCTTGAAAGAAGTATGACCGACTATCATGTCGATAACAAGAATCAGAACCTGAAGATCTTGCAAATTGACGAGTATGACGAATTACGGAAAACAATTTTGGAATTGAAGTCAAGAAAGACCACTATTTTGAACGGGTTGAGAAAAGGTTTAAAATCAGTTGATGAATTAATTGAAGTTGACTCAAAATTGTCGACCTTTGAAAAGCAATTGAACGATCACTATATCCTTACCAGTCAATTGGGATATATACAGGACATAGAGCTATCAGCATCTTCCTCTACTTCCAGTAGGTTGAATAAAGACATTGCCTCGTCAGAAATTGAAAGATCGTTGGATGATTTGGTTTCAACAGTGATGTCACTATCTATACAAAGTGGGGTTCAACTCCCTAATCCTGACCCGGCCACCATGGGAAATTTACATGGAAGAATCGACTGGTGTTCAAACTGTATTAGTTCGTTGGTTGAAGGTGTTAGAAACGGCTCGTCTCCAACCCATTCTCAACCGGCATCTGCAACAGTTGAAAGATTTGTGGATGCTGGTGAAAAGAAGAAGGATGAAAACGAAAAGGTTGATTTGAAAACTGCGTTGCATGATTTACAGTTTGCTCATAACTATTTGACGAGACAATATGAAGATGAAAGAGATCAATATAGTCATCAATTGAGTCAGTTACGGCTCCAATTAGAAGAATCAAAAGAACTATTAAACGAATCCAATATGGAACTTTCTAGATCTACAAATCAAACAATAAATTTGCAAATGAAGATAACAGAGTTGCAGTCCGAGTTGTTGAAAAAGGATCAAGCGGCTTTGAGATTAATTCAAGAGAATAATCTATTGAAGGTTGATCATTTGGGACAACAGCCAACATCATCAGCAAAATCAAACTCATCAGATTCACCACCTACAACCCCAAGAACATCATTTGGCTCACCAGAGGCATATTCAACAACTGGTAAAAGTTCTAACATACCTACATCCCCAACAAGAAACAATGTTAGTGCTTCCATTCTAAGAATGGAATTCAAAAAATTAGTAAATTCTATAAATTCAAGATTTGAGAAAGAGTTGGAGGTGCAAAGGGCTGAAAAGGAACGGTTACAAGACTTGTTGCGACTTTACGAAGGTAACAGCAACAATCCTCCAGTGACTGATAACGCGATTACACCACCGATATCCTCGAGCCTTTGATATGTGAGTATAGAAGATACGAACGAGTATGGGCATTCACTGTTGGAGGTTAAGTCACCATAAAATAAAAGCAGACTTCTGTATGTAAATGGTTCTCATTTTTCTGATGCTGCGTTTTTTTTTTTGGTATACCTCTCCCACACAAATCTGAATCACTTCAGGTTCGTTTGATTTATATAACTACTTATATAGATTCACATCATGTACCTTTTCTACAATATAAATTTTGATATTGCTTTTAATGCACAGCAACTACAATCGGGATGCTTTGATATATTTGATTTTCGAAAATTGGATTTATCCTTATACAGTAAACGGAAAGAAGATTTGGGGGCTTTCGAAATCGTCAGGAATCGTAAACATTGCTAGCTAGGATCATTTACTGCAGAAGTGAACCATTCGTGAGACCTAAAATAGCGTATTGGGTACCACCAGGATGATGGCTCGCTCAAAAGGGGACTGGTAATATTAACAATAATAATTTATTCTCGATGAGGTTGAATCAACCCTCGTCCATTGGATAGAACAATCATTCTGATTGTAACTACGTAGTCTTTGACAGTATAAAACTCACTGATTCCTTGATCAATTCTCAATCAAAAGAAACCCTTTCTTTCACCCTTTATGTTCTTTTCACAACGCAAGACTATCTATATATGACTCATGATGCTATGCATCGTCTAAAACTTCGGGTATGCAATACACACACTTCATCATGTTTTACTTTTAACGTAACGTTAATCCTTGTAAAAGTTTCAGATGTTACTCAACCCTCTGACATCTGGAGGATGAAAGTACTTTTGTCTTCTTGAGCGGCATTGTTCTACGTTCGTCCAACTAAGCGATAATCTTCGTAGCTCCTCTTATTGTATTTATTGTCTATATTGTTTTTGCTCTTCCTTCACTTTCCCCTAACATATGCCACTACCAGTGAAGGGTGAAAATTAGGGTAAGGTTTTGAAAAACATTCCTGACATTGATATGTTTGACAGTTGGTAGCACCGGTTGACAGAATACATAATGAGTAACAACCATGAAGATTTGACCAAAAAGGGGTTGAACCTCCTCTTTATCATTACCATCAGCAGACAGTCTCATTTTTGACTAAATACTATCAGCACAGAGAGATCTAAGGAGATTCTGTAATCACTTGCCAGTGTTGAGAAAACTAGTTCTCTTGTGGAACCTGGCCATATATAAGTGTTGTTTTGGCCTTAAGGATAAATTGAGTATGCTAAAATGCAACCTGAGCTTCCATTTTATAACATGTCTCTATTATAATGTATATCATTAGATTTTTATGGCATCCATAAGCAAGGAGCAGTCAGCCTTTTGGCAAACTTCTGCTCGATAATCAATATTGATACCAAGTCTATTCTCAACAAGCATTAACCATTCGCTTATTCGATAAAGCAATCATTGTGAGTAACTATATGAACCATTAATAATATAAAATAAGCTTATTGATTTGAACAATCTTGTAAATATAATATCAATCAAATCGTATCGAGAATATATCCATTAGTATTATCAATGATACGTTCAGCACAAGGGGGCTTGAGAGAGTACTTTGATAATCATTTGCAACTGCTAGAAATGATTATATCAAACGATAAAGCTATTAGACACTACAAGTGGATACCTTGCTTGACTGGAAATATGTTTCATAGCAGTTGAAGGCTTGTTACTGAGACAAACTTTGGGAGCAGGGAACAAAATGCTCAGATGGGGGATTAAAATTTTTTCATTTTTTTTGACATACCAATTGTCTCAAATAGGAACACAAATATGACCCATTTGCAGTAGCAATCAATCAAACAGTGACTTTTATTATATCTTTCAACCTTCTTCATCTAGTTAAACTATCATTGGTCACTAAAAATCGACACATTACTGAGATTTCCATGAAAAACCGATCTCAACTCTTTGGCAGATTTACGTGTCGGAGAATATCTTATAAGTGGACAATTTTTGGAAGTGTCAATAACAACCTTCCTTAGCTCAGCTGGAAGAGCATGAGACTGTAACTGTTACAAGATATCTCAGGGTCCCCGGTTCGATCCCGGGAGGGAGGACATTTATTTTTTAAATTTTTTTTTCCAATCCTACCTTAAATATGCTTGTCAACTTCATTTTTTGTTAGATACAGCCGGTTTGTGTTTTTTATTTCCTTATAAGAAACTATCATAAATGAGAGCATAAACTAATATTTGTCGCGAGGCAGTCTTACAATATCACAAAGTTAAACTGTAGTCTAAATTTAGGTGGAAAGAAGATGAAATATACTAAAGTATCGTAGAATAAAGGGGGGGGAGGGGGCGGTGATAAAAATGGGAGTCAAGGATCATACACACAAAAAGCAACAAAAGCAGGTCCAGATGACAACAAAGATTATAGAGATATTAAAATGGAAGAATAGTACAAAGTTATCACGGGAATCAAACAAAAGGTCGTGATAAAAACAGGAAACACAAGCAATAAAAACGGTCAAGTAGAAAAACAGAAGTCGACTCGATTCACAAATCAATCAAACTGCCACCTTGCTGAGAGCTACCTTGGGTTCTGGAACCATTGCTAGATGCAGAAGGCTGGTTACCGAATCCATAACCAGTATAAGAAGGCATTATACCAGTGGATGGGATTCCAGTATACTGAGTCCCCAAAAATGGATTACCAACAGAAGAGCTGGTTTCTTGCTTGTATCCCGTACCGGCCGAATTAATAAATGTACCAGTTTTTGTATGTTGTGCTGGAATTCTGGTTTCACCAGTGTTACCAAACGTATCGATACCGGTACCTGTAGCCAACAGTGCGTTCAATTGGGAGTATTGGTTGTTCATTCTTTGAATACCTGTTGGTGTTTGCTTCAAAGGTTCTTGAGGAGCAGGTTCCGGAACAGCAGGCTTTTGTTGAACTGGCTCTGGAGCTGAGGCTGGTTTCTGTTGGTTCTGGTTATTCATTGCAAATGGATTGTTTGTTCCAGTTTGCATTGCCATCATTTGCTGTTGTTGCATGGCTTGCTGTTGTGCAGCTAATTGTTGTTGGTAAAGCTGTTGCTGTTGTAAATAATACTGCTGCTCCATGGCAGCCTGTTGTTGAGCAGCCTGTTGAGCAGCCAGTTGTTGCTCATATAGTAATTGTTGCTGCTGTTGAGCAGCCATCTGATCGTAAGCGTTTTGTAAGTATCCAGTGTTCATTGACTGTTGATTAGCGTACACTGGATTGCCCATCATATCGTAGCCAATAATTTGACTCTGATCCTGTCCTTGGTAGAATCCATATACCTGTGGAGGCTGTGGAGTTTCATCCAGGTCTAGTAGATTTGTACTCTTCTTTCTCATTTCTTCTTCTTCAAGACTCAATTGAATGGCCTTCTCGATACTATCATCACTCTTGTTTCTTCTTCTCCTTTCTTCCTCCTCAGCGGTCAATCTACTCTGCTCTAAAGCCAACTGTAAAGCTTCGTCATACTCTTCAACTGGAGATTCTTCACCTCTACCACGGCGACGTCTTCTGTCGTTGGCTCTTTCCCTTGCTAACTCTCTTTCTTGCCTCAATCTCTCATCATCCTTCAATAGGCCAGTTAGTTCTTTGGCTTTGACTCTAATGATAGCACCTTGATCATGGCCGGTGATATCACTAAATTGAAACTCTCTCAAAGTTTTAATGATATATAGGTTATCTTTAGCCCATAACACTACATCGTCAGAACCATATCTAACCAAATAATCCAACAAAGTTAACGATTTGGCAATGTGTCTCCAATTCTTACCCTTGTCATTCAATCTTCTATCAATCATTTCCATGACTTCATGAAATTCGCTCATTTGATATGTGTGATTGGCAATGTCAGCCATTTGTGATGTTGTAGGACCTGATGGATCATTACTCGTTGCGGTTCTCACCATTGCTTGAGTGGAGGAGTAACCGTTAACAACGTTTTTGATAGATCTCATAACAGATTTTCTAGCGGACATTTTTGTGATTCTTGTTTATATTAACGTTTGATTGAAATGAGTTGATTAGATCAAAAATAATTATAGAGAGATAGAACAATGGTGGCTGATGTATTACAATAAAAGAAAGTCAGGCTGATAAGTGAAATTCAGCTTCTGAAAAGTACGTTTTCTTGTTAGTTGATTGCACAGACAACGGATTGAGACGGGTTCTTTAGCTAAATATAAAAGACCTCTATTTTAGATGACACTCTTGTATATTTGTGTATATATGTTAATAATTCAATAACCTTGAACAACCAGGTGGAGCTGAGAGTGGCTGTCCTCTCTGGCAATATACGGAGGTTTATCGTACCGCTTTTCGAGCATTGGCTCTCCTTCGCAGTTGGCCTTTCGGTTGGTTACGCTGCACTGGCCTCGGCTGAGTCTATGTATATACTTTATCTACTGCTCTACAAGTACTAGTCTATGTATCACTGTTGAATTTATCAACTAATCAGGAAAGACTTATGTCTTATTATGAGAAGAAAAACAAACTACTTACACTGTATATATTGAAGAAGATTTTCTCATGAGAAAAGTTTCATTAATTATCATTAGCTACTCCCCAATAATGATTGTCACAAGATTTGACTTTAGCTTAGGGGTTTCCATGTCTTTTCTTGTCTCCATTGCCCGTCTATTTTCCGTTTCTATATACATCCTAACGCTAGGGTCACACCTTCCTGCTATTCGACTCACAACCAGGACAATTGTGTAGCACGTCATGAGAAAAGACATCGCAATCAATGCAGAATTCGTTGCTGCAATCTTGACAGCGATATCTAGAACTTGTGTGAAACTCTTTTTTTCTCTTATTTTCAGCTTTCGATCTCTCGCTCATATCAATGCCTTTAGGAAACTTAACCTGGCATCCATAGCAGTGAGTAGTGTTATAATTTTCGGCCACGGGCACCTCAACGAAAAGTTTCATCGGAAATAGATGATGGTATGATCTTGCTAAATGAGTAGACAAAATTAACATTAAGTCACAACAAGGGCATACCGTAGGAAGCACACAGACTTTACTCTTACAGTTTGGACAAACGTATCCACCATACACTGCTTTTGAATGACACGAACAAAACGTAGGATGGTCGTCACTAATTCTTGAAGGGAATCCCATCTTGACCAATGTAAACCCATCCTTCTTTTCAGACTCAACTTTGGTAACAGCCAAAGGTGTAACAGCATCCATAAACAAGTCCCTGAAATTCTGTTCGTATAGAACCACATGATATGAGTTTTCCAAATCTCCAAAATTAGTCAGTTTGCACAACTCTTCACAGATAGCAACTCGTGCTGTAAGACCAATGACCCGCACTGTGATCTTCTCTTTCACTAATTCTTGAATGGTTTTATGAATATTACCTGGATCTGAAGTGAATAGTGCCCCAAATAATATGAGAACTTCTCTTGTGCAATGCGAGGCCACATGTAAAAGTAAACCTCTGGACATTTCTAGTGCATTTTGTAATGATGGATCACCTTGAGGTTCCAATTTTTTGATGGATTTTAGTGCTTCTATATGATCGTGTGGATTACCACTCACTTCAGAGACAAGCTGTGCTAAACCATTTCTCATCACAATTATACTAAGCTGAGAGATAGGGTTTTGGTCAAAAAATTCATTAACAAAATCGATAGCATTGGATATCATGATCGCAGCTCTATTCGGTCTAAAATCCTTCTCACTCATCACTTTTGAAAAATCTAAAACTAAAACCATGGTTCTAATGATACCTCTCTGAAAAGGTGTGATGTTTTTGAGGTACCTTTTCTTTTGTGACTCGACTAGACCTAGAACAATTGACTCGATACTACCACTTTCGTCTTCTTGCACAATGTCCCACGATCTTCTATATTCGTCTTCCCAAGCGTAACCACCACTTGCACCTTTCAAAGCCTCAGGAGCTTTCTTTTGGCTCACAGCATTTTGATCCACTCCAGGAGTGGCCTGTCTGGAACCGGATTCAAATTCTTCTTCATCAGAATCCATTGCTTTTATATACAAGATGGAGCTGCTTGATTCACAATTTCCAGTAAATACGACCCCAGTGTCAGGTTAACAATAAGCAATGTAAAGACATGAACTTAAGGAGCCATGATCGATATTCGAGCAAAGATGGCTGTGCAGAGATGTTAAGTATAAAATTTCTCAAAGCCACTTTAGCCGTGCATGCATAAAAAAAAAATTTTAAATATTTTTCTTCAAATCATAAGTACTGGCTAACTGATTAAATCTCTCTGTTTTCAATTCAATCTCCACAATAATAAACATTCCAGGAAATGGCTAAAGCACCAAGAGGAAGAAGAGCTGAAAAGCAAAAGAAAGCGGAAGCGGACACTATATCTGTCAAGAGCACCGATTTCATTCCAACTAAAGCTAGTGAACCTGCATCTGAATCTAAAGAACAATTAACTGCTCCACAGGAAGTTACACCATTTTTCGGTTTAGTTGACTCTACTGAACTTGAATATTTCAAACAAGCAGAATCAACACTTAATATAAATGCATTTGAGAACGCCGATGAAAGATTAGGCTTCATTTCTAGTGTCTTCGAAGAATCAAAGGGTAAAGAATTAAAACTAGCAACCAATCAGATCTGTTCGAAGCTATTTGAAAGATTGATATTATCAGCAAATTCAAAGCAAGTGAAGCAATTGTTTAGAGCATTTAATGGACATTTCACATCTCTATGTAATCAAAAGTACTCTTCTCATGTTATGGAGACTTTTCTTGTCAGATGTGCTTCAATGATTGAAAAGGAAATTTTGAAAGATGGAACAGAACAAGAAGATGAAGATGAAGATGAAGATGACGACGATCAAGCATTTGTTTCAATGGAAAACGTCTTCTTGTTCATGTTGGCAGAGTTGAAGCCTTCTTTGAAGACAATGATGTCTCACCAATATTCTTCTCATGTCCTAAGAGTTATGTTATTGATCTTGGCTGGAAAACAAATGCCATCATCTGTTGAATCCAATTCTATCTTGAGATCAAAGAAATCCAAGATTGCAAGAAAGATGATTGATATCAAAGATAACGAGGATTATAAAAGAGCATATCAAATTCCATC